GTTTTCTCAATCATGGCCAGGAAGGTTTTGAATTGATTTTAGAATATAGATCTTTTGTGACCCACATTGACTGATGTGCTGAAATTTAAAGAAGCAGAGAAAAATAGCTACCCACTCCAGTATTCTTGGGCTTCCCTGGTGGCGCAGCTGGTAAAGAATCTGCCTACAATGTGGGAGACCTGGGTTCAATACCTGGGTTGGGAAGATCCCCTGAAGAAGGGAAAGGCTACCCACTCCACTATTCTGGAGAATTCTGGAGAATTCCATGGACTATAGTCCATGGGGTCGCAAGGAGTCAGACACAACTGAGTAACTTTCACTTTCAGAGAAAAAAGTCCTGCCAATTCTAGGGGAAACAAAAATGTAAATCATGAGCCAGCTCAAGCTGGACAGAGATATATTTAGGTTGTTTATATATTTTTCCTTGTTTAAAAAATGCAGTTGCTGCTGTTTTTTAACATAGCCTTCCTTTCAGTTATTTACTTAGTGTAATTCTTAGGAGTTGAGTTGTGGAGCCAAGTGACTGAATATTTTAGATAGCTGTCAATATTACTGTAAAATTACTTACCAAACTATTATACCAGTTACCACTACCTTCAGAGAAATGTGACACTGTCAATTTGACCATTTGCACACTAGCATTGGGGATTATTATTTAAAATTTTTTTTTTGTTCTCAGAGATATAAAGTTGTGCCTCATTATTTTCTTTTTATTTCTTTGTAAACAGTTGAGGTTGAGTATTGTTCTTTGCATCTATTTATCTACGTTCTTATGAGACTCATATGTTCATGTTCCTTTTTGTGCAATTTTTTTAAGATTGTTGAAGACATTTGTGGAAGGCAGACTCAACTATTTAATTAAGTGACAATGGGAGGCATTGGCTGGAGGGAACACAGAGATGAATAAGATACCATCCTGCTTTCTTCTTTTTTAAATTAAGATGTGATTGACATACAAAACACTATATAAAGTTCCAGGTGTATAATATAATAATTCAATACTTGTATATATTACAAAATGATGACCCCAGTAATCTAGTTAACATCCATCATCATACATAGTAACAGAATTTATTTTTCTTGTGATGAGAACTTTTAGGATTTACTCTCTTAGCAATGTTCAGAGAGTACTATTAATTATAGTCACCATGTTGTATGTGACATGCCCACAACTTACTTATTTTATAACTGAAAGTATGTACCTCTTGACTCCTTTCACCACTTTCACCCATCCCCTACCACAGCCCATGGCAACCACCAGTCTCTATCTGTTCTCTTTATTTATAAGTTTTTGTTGTTCCACATGTAAGTAAATCATGTATTTGTCCTTCTCTGACTTATTTCACTTAGTATAATGCTCTCAAGGTCCATTATTATTGTTGCAAATTGCAAGATTTCATTCTTTTTATGGCTGAATAATATTCATGTATCAGTTCAGTTCAGTTGCTCAGTCATGTCTGACTCTTTGTGACCCCATAAACCGCAGCATGCCAGGCCTCTCTGTCCATCACCAACTCCCGGAGTTTACCCAAACTCATCTCCATTGTGTCGGTGATGCCATCCAACCATCTCATCCTCTGTTATGCCCTTCTCCTCCTGGCCTCAATCTTTCCCACCATCAGGGTCTTTTCAAATGAGTCAGCTCTCCACATCGGGTGGCCAAAGTATTGGAGTTACAGCTTCAACATCAGTCCATCCAATGAACACCCAGCACTGAGCTCCTTTAGGATGGACTGGTTGGATCTCCTTGCAGTCCAAGGGACTCTCAAGAGTCTTCTCCAACACCACAGTTCAAAAGCATCAGTTCTTCAGTGCTCAGCTTTCTTTATAATCCAACTCTCACATCCACACATGACTACTGAAAAAACCATAGCCTTGATGAGACGGACCTTTGTTTGCAAGGTAATGTCTCTGCTTTTTAATGTGCTGTCTAGGTTGGTCATAACTTTCCTTCCAAGGAGTAAGCATTTTTTAATTTCATGGCTGCAATCAGCATCTGTGGTGATTTTGGAGCCCAGAAAAATAAAGTCAGCCACTGTTTCCACTGTTTCCCCGTCTTTTTGCCATGAAGTGATGGGACCAGATGCCATGATCTCAGTTTTCTGAATGTTGACCTGTAAGCCAACTTTTTCACTCTCTTCTTTCACTTTCATCAAGAGGCTCTTTAGTTCTTCTTCCCTTTCTGCCATAA